GCAGTGCCCAGGGACAGCCGGGTCTCGTAGCAGCCATGCCAGAGTCTTGGCTCTGTGCCCCAGAGGCCAAGGTCTCCAAGCCTCTGGCTGGGTGGCGGGAGTGAGGCTCCGGAGACAATGCCTCCTTTCACACCAAGCCAAATCCACACTGAAGTGCCCCTTTGAAAAGGGCCCTGCTGGGGAACAATATACAAAGACCCAGGGAGTGGGGAGGTGGGATGGAGCAGCTCAGGTGAAGGCCTTTACCCCCAGCGAGGCTTCCCTCCTTCGCCCAGGACACCCCCAGGAACTGTGAGCGCTACCTGAACTGGGCCCACGCCTTCCTGGTGGTGTACAGCATGGACAGCCGCCAGAGTTTCAAGGACAGCAGCAGCTACCTGGAGCTGCTGGCTTTGCACGCCAAGGAGACACAGCGCAGCTCCCCTGCCCTGCTGCTGGGCAACAAGCTGGACATGGCCCAGTACAGGTGAGCGCGGACGGGGTGTCCTCCTCTCTGGAGCCCGCTGTCCTCATTTGGAAAGGCTGCGTGTCATCATCGGGGATTATTGGGCTGCTAAGGAAAGTAATCCCTGCAAACTTAGGTTAAAGGGTACAGTGTGCGTGGCCTTCCAGACAGGCCAGGGCAGGAAGGGAAGAGCTTCTGGCCCACACAGGAGTTGGACGCTAAAAGCAGGAAAGCCACTCCTTCCATCCTCATGGGGCTTTGTGGTCTCTCTCAGCCTCACCCTCTCTTGCCTGTCTATATGACGTTCCGTCCTCACTCCCCATAGCTGGCTGGTTATTATTCAGTGCCCAATTCCAGTTCTGAGAAGAAAGGCTGTGATTGGCTCCTTGAGTCAGGTGTCTGGTCTGGTCCAACCAGCTCTCACCTCACCCAAGCATGGCCCCACGCTCACTCCAACCATTGGCGGTGCTGAGGGCAGCTTCTCTTAGAATGGGCTGGACTTGAATTAGAGGTAGCCGACTGGGCCAGAGGGCAGATTACCAGCAAACACTGCAGCATTTTGCTTGGCGAGCACAGTATTTTAAAAGACCTGGAATTGGAATGCTTTGAGGAGGGGTATGCCCTCTCCAGCTGACTCAGGCCTTACCACTCCCCATGGCTTTCCTCCACTCTCTCCATACATTTGAGTTGCTTGCCTGGCCCCCAAAAGCACGATGCTCCCACTTGATGAGTAATCCCACTGCCCTTGTCCCAACACTGACATTTGTCCTATGTGGCCTGTCCACCTTCAACATCTGGCGCCTTCCACCCATCTTCCATCTGTCCCTCCCTGTTCATGGCCAATCACTCCTGCTTCCCCAGACCCCAAAGGCCCATTGGCTGCGATAAGCCAGGAGGGGACCTTTGGTGCAGAACAAATCAGATGGGCAGTGGGAAAGGGAGGTGCAGTCTCATGAAGAGGGGCCACGGTAGGAGACTTCAAAGGCCATCAAGCCCTCAGACAAAGACAAATTCCATCCCAGGGAATGAAGGAAGTTGTGTGATCTTAAAACCGAAAGGTGGTTTTTGAGGAATCGTAGAGCCCACGGTGCCTGGAACAGGGGTCAGAAGACTGAGTTGTGGTAAATCTATCTTCAGTATGAGGGGAAAACCTAGACCACTGTTTTGGTCCTAGTCTTTGCCACAGGCATTGTCTAAAAATGGTTGGGGAGCAAATAACAAAGATTATGGGGCTCAGCCAGAGCAGCTTCAATTCTCTAAGGAAAGTTGTGGCCATTTACCCTCATTTTGTTCTTTGATCCAGTCTGGTAGTGGATCAGGATTTGATGCGCAGTCAGTCTTGTAGCTGAGCATTGGTGTATCTCCTATGACTGTCTTGCAGCTACATGGTAAATTGTGGGTGAGAGTGGTTCCCAAATCACTGAGAAAATTGTCACCAGGCTGCAACAGAACAAGAGAGGATCATGTGACATGCCTGTGTTCCCCCATTCACACACATGTATGCATGCATGGGGTGCTAGTTTCTGAAAATCCATGAATTCAAGCCCCCACACTGAGAAATTTTTAGACGCAAGGTTGCCATAAAAGCAAATAATATCAAGTATTTCTTCAGAACGGTTCCTCAGGAAACAGTGAGCTTAGGTTTCCTCAGGAAAGCAGGACACCAGCCCTGGGTGGGGAGTCTAGATACTCTGCCCCTGGCCCTTTTTGTCCCGGTCACTCTCTGTCTGATACTCCCCCCGGGCAGCCAGCCCACTGCTAGCACCCCTGCTCTTGCCAAATTGACCTTGGCTCAGAAACCTCTTCCCATCACTACCCACTGGTCTTATGGGCTGTACCACTGTCCCTGGGAATGGTAGCGCAGGGTGGTCGCCAAGATTCAGCCAATGGAACCTTGGCCTCAAAGCCTCAGGTGCCCCCACCCCTTCCTTCTTCTGGACATCTGACCCACCCAAGAGCCAGTCTTTTTCCTCTCACCTTGATTCCCATGGCTTTCAGGCCAGAAGCTTCCAGGACCTCCCCAGTTAAATAGTCGATCCCGTCAGGAAAGAGGGTATAGGACGAAGCTGACAATAGGTGTTGTTCTCTCTCCCCTTCTCTTCCTCCTTCCCGTGAAATGTCACCCTTGCTCTCCTCTCGGACGAGCAGGCAACTCTCCGCATGAGCCCTGAGAACTCTGCCAACCGCAGGCATCCTGAGGCGCCTCACCCTCCCCTCCTCTGTGGTCTCACACTTCTCCATCCAGGCCACTGCCTTTCTCTGGAACTGGTCCCACGGGCTGGGGCTGAGGGTGGCTCATTTCCTGACCAAGGACCCATGCTGGCCTAGAGGGAGGCAGGGCTGGGAATGACCATCTTCTTCCAGCCACAAGCAGGGTCTAGCCAGTAAGCTGCTCCCTTGCCCACGCTTTGTTCCTAAATTCTGCTTTGGTGACATCAGCCACCATTTATTGAGCACGGACTCTGTGCCACGTACTACACCAGGCACACGATACAAATGGTCTTTCTTAATCCTTTTAACAACCCTGCGAGGCAGATGTCATTATCCCATCGTACTCACGAGATGGCTGCAGGTCACCAAGCCCGTGAGTGGGGAAACGAGTGTAGGCGCGGGCCTCCCCGACTTGGACACTCGCTCCTGACCCTGCCTCGCCCTGCTTCCCCACCAGGCAGGTCACCAAGGCAGAGGGCGCCGCCTTGGCGGGCAAGTTCGGGTGCCTGTTTTTCGAGGTCTCGGCCTGCCTGGACTTTGAGCACGTGCAGCATGTCTTCCACGAGGCCGTGCGGGAGGCACGACGGGAGCTGGAGAAGCATTCCCTGCCCCGGCCCCTCTTCATCTCTGAGGAGAGGGCCCTGCCCCACCAGGCTCCGCTCACCACCCGGCATGGGCTGGCCAGTTGTACCTTCAACACACTTTCCACCGTCAGCCTGAAGGAGATGCCTGCCGTGGCCCAGGCCAAGCTGGTCACTGTGAAGTCATCCCGGGCCCAGAGCAAGCGCAAGGCGCCCACCCTGACCCTGTTGAAGGGCTTCAAGATCTTCTGAGGGCACCCCTCCAGATCCTGGACTCAGCAGCTGGGCGGGGCTTTCCCTCTGACTGGTCAATAGCCCTGGCCGTCTGGCGGACAGTTGACCCCTTTTCCAGCACCAAGTAATGTCCGGACACCCAGTTCACTGTGTGAGCTGGAGGGACAGGCTGGAACGCTGCTCTTCCTCGCTCCAGGCCTTGGTTTCCATGGTAGCCACTGCATTCCCTGACCCTGAAGGGAAATAGCCACTGAGGCAACCCAGAGACCTGGGGTCAGCCTGAAGTGGAAGGAAATTGCAGTGTCCATCGTGGTGCCATCACTCCTTCCTGCTCCAGCTGCAGCCAGGCCAGATGTGGCCCCTAGGGGACAGCTCTGGATGGTCCCTAAGTGTAGGCCCGAGAACACGCTGCAGGAGGAGCAACCCTGAGGTCCTAGCACCACCTGGTGGGCAGGAAGGACAGAGAGCGGCTACAAGTTGGGGGTGGGGGGGCGTTGAGCCTGGCCCTCCTGTTGTCCTCTGACTTCACAGATGCCCCAGGCAACAAACCCCACGGTTTAAATAATCCTACGGGACAGGCTGTGAGAAGCAAAATTCCCAGGAAGGGCTATTTCCTGTACTTTACCTTTCGCTGAGGACTGGGAGCTCTGGATCATCTGAGACAAGGAGCCTGCAATGTTTCTTCCCCCAGGAGACAGTGCCCCCTTATTTTCCCATCTTAAATTCAGGACTCTCTCCACAGACCCTCAGGACCAGCCTCCTGAAGTTTAACGATCAGAGCTGCAGAACAAAGTCATTCTCTCTAGTGACCAGCGCCCAGGACTCCCGGGAGCCTACACCTGGGGGTATCAGACACCCAGTGGGCACGGTTAGCCGGCCTGAGGCTCGTAGGTAGAAACACAGTAGGCCATCTGTAGTCTAGTCTAGCAGGACCCAGTACCTTTGACAGTGGGTCTGAGTGTTCTAAGTCCACTTCTGAAAGATAGAAGCGAAGGCATTTGGGGTTCAGAAAGCAATTTTTTGCATACATCATTTGGGGTCACCACTGCAGCTGATACAACAACACTGTGGCTCAGACACAGGATCAGGACACTCTCTTGGGATCCCATTATCAGCACGGGGAGTTCCATAGTTTTCTAACTCTCTTTACCTTGGGGCCTCTGGCCCAAAGGAAGTCTCTCGTGGGCCCTCAGTAGATATGCCGGTGAAGGAGAGGGCTCTGCTAGGAGGAAAGGGGTGTGAAGGGGATTCTGAGCCCGGAATCCTGTTCTTGGCAATTCTAGGACCTTGGATTAAGAACAACAGTTCTAACCCGGCCTTCAGCCCCATTCTGTGGATGGAGAAGCTGAGGTCAGAGCAGAGGGAGGCTGTGAACTCCTCAAGACCACACGAGGAGTCCTAGCCAGGCTTCCTGACCCACAGGCTGGCTATGGATTTCTCGCTCCTGCTCCAAGCCGCTTGTGTGTTCTGACACGGCCGTTTGAACAAACTATGCAATTCTAAATGCCCACTTCCAGAAGCCTTTTAATAAAAGTGTTTCTTCTCCCCCATCCCATAACAGAATATTAGTTTGATTGCAGTTCGTTCATCTTATCTGCTGGCACCATGGGGCAGGGCTCTGAATTCTTACTAGGTCTCCGATTCTTGTGGGTCTGGAAGGAGAACCAGTGACGCATCTCCCTCTTTTAACTCAATTTCCACCTGGGCTAAATTGTGCTTTTCTGAGAGCAAAGTCTCTTTTAGGATGTTCAGGTTATTGTCATCTCTGGTTTCAGCCTCAGCCAAGTCTTGGAGTTCTGGTTTGTTTTTCCCCAGGAGCTTTTGATTTCTGGGAGGAGAGAAAACACTGTTGAATCTGGGTTCTCTGAGCTGGGGTACTGAGTGATTGGGGGCAAGACTGGGGCTCCCAGGTAGATTAGCGGGTTGGGGGGGCGGGGAAGAAATCCAGCAGGCAGTCCTGGGAACTGTTAGGGGAGAAAGCCAAGATAGTTTGGTGTTCTTTTGGCAGAGAAATGGCTTATTCTCGTCCGTGTATCATCTCAGCAAATCCTCATTGCCACCATGAGTTCAACTATTCTCACCCCTTGCGCCCCTTACAGGTGAAACGGGGTTCAAAAAGGTCAAAGATGCACGCACCTTGGACATGCATTTAAGTCTCCTGGCTCTGGGTTCTGTGTCCTTGCTACCCCATTCCCACCCTCATCCACCTCATCCCCAAACTACTTCAGGAAGTTCCTAACTAATCTTCCTGCTTCTAGGTGCTTGGTTTTCCAAATCAGCCCACACACAGCAGTCATGTTTCTACAACCTCAGTGTGCATACATCACTCCTCAGGTCGAGCACCTTTAGTGGCTCCCCACTGCCCATGTCCTTAAGCTGGTGTTCAAGACCCAACCTTTCTTCCAGTAACTCCCCCAAGTGTCCTCCCTCCGAAGGTGGTCTTACTTAAGGTACCCCTAGGCTTCCTGGCCATTGTGGAGGAACCCAACTGTGGTAACGGCTGACCGCCCAGAGAATCTGCTCGGTGTCCGCTGCTCCCATGGACAGCCCCTTTGTCCCTGAGCTGACCTTGCTGAGGGCGATGCTTCCTGACAGGTTAAGAAAGGCAAGGTCACATTTTTAGGAGCTACACCCCTTTGGTTCATTTTATAGCCTACATCCAGACTAATCTTGCTAAAACAGACCTTTCATGTCCCTGTGCAAAGCCATTCTCTGGCTCCCCAATGCCCATGAGCTAGAACCTGAATTCCTTGGGACCCATACATTCTGGGTCCTTCCCTCCTCCTCCCTCCCTCCACCCCCGTGCCACGTCACATTCCACAGCCATATGGGCCGGGCCTCCTCCTCCAGCACCTCAAGTTTGGTGCCTATTGTCCCTCAGTCTAGAAGGCTTCCTCAGCCCACTCTCCCTTTCTCTTTTTGCCCAGAAGGCCCCAGATCCCACCACTGTGCTCCCACACACTCTGTATCTCCCACACTGAGCATCTGTCACTCTAAACTACACTTGTCTCCCCACCAAAGTGTAAATTCCATAAGGCTGCATTTTGCTGTCCCAAAGGGTGGCTGGCCAAGACCCCTAGATGACCGCTCCCTAGATTTCCCTTGGGAGGGCAGGTCCCCCACCCGCCAGAGACCACCCCCAGACCAGCTCCTCACCTCTTTGCCTGGATGCTCCTTCCCAGGAGGACAAAGCTTATCACGCCCACCACGCCCACCAGGGCAAAGATGGAATAATTCCAAGGAGATGCTGGGGAAGGACACACGGAACAGAGCCTTGAGGAGAGCCTGGGTGCCCCTCAGGCCCACTAACAGTTGGGGCTCGGGCTCAGACTCAGCTCATGGCATCAGTCATCCCCTGCTGTGAGCCAGGTGTTGTAGAGACTAACGAAGATGAGCCCCTGCCCTGCGGGACCTCCAGTGTGGGGGAGGGGGAGAGGGAGGGACAATTTCTGCTCTGCAGAAGCCCTAATCTAAGGGGAGGGGGAAGGGGTGGCAGTGAAACTGTGTCCAACAACTGCCAACAGAGAATACATAAAATGGCCAATCTGAATTTGGATGCTGAGATGTGTCCACACCGTACCAAAATGAGGCAGGATCCAGCCCCGGAGCCATTGCGTTTGCTTTTCCCCTTACCAGGAATGCTCTTCCCCCACATAATCTGTGGGGCTCATCATTTCATCTCCTGCAAGCCCTTATTCAAATGTCAGCTTCTTGGTGCGGCCTTCCTTGACCGTGGTACCTACCCTTCTCTTCCCTCTCTGTGCTTAATTTTTCTCCGTATTGCTCATCACCCACATGCTCTGCATTTTAGTCGTTTGTCTCGTTGATTTTCTCTCTCATTATTAGAATGTGTGCTGCACGGAGGGCAGAGACTTTTGTGCTTCATTCATACTGTAAGCCCACTGCTGAGAATGGTGCCCAGTGCGCAGAAGGAACTTAATGAATATTTGTGAATGATCCAATAAATGAAGAAAATGAATGACCATGCCCTGAGAAGAGGGTGCGGTGAGGCCAGACCCCTCTGGGAATTAAGACCCCCCCTCTGCCTCAATCCCCACCTTGGGGGGAAATGTGCAGCCGGTACTGGAGGAGGGGGATTTCAGCCAGATTCCACTCTTTGTGCTGAGGCGCATATCCCCCCCTCCCCGATGCCCCACCACTTACCATCTTCCACCCGAAAAAACCAAAGCATTTCTTCCAGCAGTTCCTGAGGCACCGTGGTACCGGCTGGGGCTTGGATGAACCCCTCACTGTGGTCCATGCCCCCTGCTCCTGGTTGGGATATGTTTCTGCCAACGAAATCCTTAGGTCTCTTGGCTCCCCAGGTGCCCTCCTGGTTTCCTAGGTTCCGGCCTCTGGGCAAAGCCCTGAAGAGCCCTGGAAACAAAGCAGAGAGCGTGACCCGATATCCCATCCCAGATTGACCTCCCTTACTGCCCAAACCCAGCTCTCCTCTGGCACACAGTTACTGGACCAAGACGGCTGGGACTCTGGGCAGGTGGAATCTGGAGAGGCAGAAACCATCGAAGTAGGAGTCACTCAAGTCTTTAGTAAGATTCATTAGGTGTGGAGAAGAGCATTGACCTGGGGGTGAGGAGGATTGAGTCACTGACAGGCTATGGGACCCTTGCAGGGACCATTGTTCGTTTTTTGCCCGCCCAGCATCCCCAGCCCGCTTCTGCAGCCCAGTGCCCTCCGTCACCCTGGTTCCTTAGCGAATTTGTCCCACCTCTCCCCATTGATTTTCCGGTGGCAGCCAATCTCACAGGCTCCTGTGTCCCCACCAGGGCCAGGCCTGTCAGTCTCTCTCCTGGACACGGGCACACCTGTGATCCGAAGCTGAGAATAGGAAAATGCCAGAGAGAGGTACTGGCTAGCACCCTGCCAGAGAGCCGGGCGCCACACAAGAACCTGAACTCATGCTCCCTGGATAAATCCCTTCCTTAATTTGAGCCTGTTCCCATTCCTATAAAATAAAGCCGGTTCAGCGGTGTTTACCAGACCTCAGTCCGTCCCCAAACAGCCACAAATCTTGACATATTTTCGTACTGCCTGTACTATTTTTACTTAACCTAAAACATCCCACTATCCACATTCAAATGAAAATAGGTGCAGTTAACTTTGGCAATATATTTCCTTTAATCCAACATAACCCAAATATTCTCATTTCAATATAATCAGTATAAAAATGGTTGAGATATTTTACATTTTTCATACCAAGTCTCTGAAATTGGATGAAGATTTTACACGTATTGCATATCTCAGTTCTGACTAGTCACATTTCAAGTGCTCAGTAGGCTCATGAGGCTACTGTATGATACAGCCCAGGTCTGTGCCCAGGCCAGGGCCAGGCTGTGGCAGCTGATTCTCCCAGCTGCTCTGGGCTCCCGGCTTGAGGACAGCAGGCCATGGGGAGTAAGCCTTGGGCTGAGAGCCAAGGAGCTGGCCCTTCATCTGGCTCTGCCTCTGGTTAATTTGTCTAAGCAAATCACTGGGTTCTCTGAAGAACAAAAAAGGAAATAATAGGGAAAATAAGAGAATCTGTTCAATGAAGAATACCATTAATAAAGTAACAAACACATTTCCAGTTGGGATAAGATACTTACGATACTCAAAATCAAGAAAAGACTGATATCTAGAGTATACAAAGAATTCTTGCAAATTAACAAGAAAAAGACAGGAACCCTAATAAAAGATAAAGGATGTAAACAGGCAATTCACAAAATAGGAAACCCACAAAGCTAGTGAGCATATGAAGAAATGATCAATCTCTTTGATAATCAGAAGAATGAAAATTAAAAAAAAAAAACAAAAAAAGAAGAATGCAAATTAAAAGAAAAAAATAGTACTTGGCATCTATTAGATGAACTTGGTTTGGAAGGTAGATAATGCGGTGTGTTGGTGAGGCTCTGGGGCTATAGCCTTAGGTACTAACAGAGGGAGTGTAGACAGGCAGCCATCTCGAGCGCAAAAGTAAGTATGCACACCCCACAACACAGCAACACGCTCCTGAGTGTGTGTGTGTGTGTGTGTGTGTATCCCAAAGAAATTATGCCCAAGGATCATAAGGGGGCATGCCATACCATTTATGAAAATTCAAAATAGGCACACAAAATAATACATATTTTACAAAAACACGTTTTTAAAAAAGATACACATTACACACATTAGGATAGTTACCTTGGGGGAAAGAGGAAAAAGGGAGCAGGAATGGAAATGAGAGTAACTAAAGAAATAAAACTGGAGAAGAGTTTTGAGCAGATCAGTCATGAAAACGTCACGGCACTAATAACAATGACAAAAGCAGAAAGAGAATAGGAGGGTCCCCGAGACGATCTCAAGGGCCCCTACTCTGACATGCCTTCTGTAATAGCCTCTGGAGGCTCAGCCAGGAACATCCCAAAACAGCTGCGTGGCAAACAGCCAAACAGAAAAGCAAAGTACTAATAGAAGGATTGACATCAGAGGTTTTCCCAACTCTAAATGCTCTGAGAAAACTGAAGAAGCATCTATAGACTTTGAGGGAAAATATTTGTTTTCTTTTTTTTTTTTTTAAAGATTTTATTTATTTGACAGAGAGAGACACAGCGAGAGAGGGAACACAAGCAGGGGGAGTGGGAGAGGGAGAAGCAGGCTTCCCGCGGAGCAGGGAGCCCGATGTGGGGCTTGATCCCAGGACCCCGGGATCATGACCTGAGCAGAAGGCAGACGCTTAACGACTGAGCCACCCAGGAGCCCCGAGGGAAAATATGTTAACACAAATATAATACTGAGCTAAGTTTTTTATATATGAATCATCATTTGTGTGTCAAGATAGAGATGGAAGATCAGGGAGAAAGATCTTTTTTAGACTTTCTGGTACTTGGCTGCATACTACCTACTTACTCATGACTTACCGAATATATGTAGAATAATGGAAAGACAAAGTTTCGGGAATGGCTAATCTATGTGATTTGCTATTCCAGCTCCAACTGTCTGTCCAGAGCCCTTGTTAAGAAGGGTTGTGATTTTCTGTACAGTCTCAGAGGCCGGAGCATCTGGATTAATTAGTAACATTGGCCGTAGACTCCTGTCACATATGCAGAACCCCCCACCCAGATCCACAGAGAAAAGAGTGTGAAGGTCAAGCTACCCAACACTGACTCCCTCTGGGGAAGTGGGATGGAGCCTAGACACGTGGGACGTTCACTTGGAACATTTCTGTATTGTATACATTTGTCATGAGTATACACTATCTTCATGGAAACAACACATGTAATTATATTTTTTAATGTATGTATATTTTGAAAATATATCTGATGTATTTGCATGTATTTTTAAATGTTTGTGTATGTTGTATTTCCCTTTTGAGACAACCGTCCAATTTTGGATATTTAATAATCGAACTGATAAGATGTCGCAGTTCTTCCCAACTTGATCTGTAGATCCAATGCAGTACCAATCAAAAATCCCAGCAAGTTATGTTATGGATATGGACAAACTGATTCTAAAGTTTATACGCAGGGGCAAAAGACCCAGAATAGTCAACACAATATTGAAGAAGAGCAGAGTTAGAGGACCGATGCTACCCAACTTCAAACTTCCTATAAAGCTGCAGTGCAGGGCGCCTGGGTGGCTCAGTTTGTTAAGCATCTGCCTTCAGCTCAGGTCATGATCCCAGGGTCCTGGGGTCGAGCCCCACATTGGGGGGGTGTCCCTGCTCAGCAGGGAGTCTGCTTTTCCCTCTCCTGCCCGTTCCTGCTTTCTCTCTCAAATAAATAAATAAAGTAAAAAAAAAAAAAAAAAAAAAAGCTAGAGTGAGCAAGACAGAGTGGAATTGAAACTAATCAGAGGTGTGTACAAATTTGCACGTTGGCTGATGTCCACAGTGGAATGTGGGGCCACAGACACCTAGGCTAAGGATGGGGTGAGGGGTGTCTCCTGTCACCCTCTGCTCCCCAGCTATAGTTTCATAAATGTAGTGATAGGATTCCTTGTTGCTTGGTCCCCAAAGCCTTATACCTATTTTATACTTTGGCTTTAAATGGGTTCGCCAGAGATGCTCCCCAGCTCCCCTGCAGGCAGAGGCAGGCCCAAGTAGGTCCATTGGAGGCTGTACTTCGACATTGTCACGGAGACATTTCAGAACCAGGCCTGCCGGCTTTTTTGTTTACCGACCTCTTGGGGCCAGTGTCTGAGCTGGATCTGGGGTGCTGGGTGAGGAAGAAGACACAGCTCACATTCTTCCTAGCCTTCCTAAACCAAAGTTCTTTGCCATGCCTACCAGCCCAGCCTTGGTGCTGGGTTTTCCTTTCCTTTGGGTATTTTCACTATGTGGGAAGCAGGTTTTTCTATGGGGGAGCCACGTTTTTGGTACAGGTATAAGTTGGGGTTTTCAGGGAGCCCTGTTTGGTGCATCCTTCTGTATTTTCTTTCCTCAATCTATGCAAAGTGGCTCTGGCCTCCATCATCCCCTCGGATGCCAGGGGGCTGCCTCTTGAGCCCAGGTGGGTAGAGCATCCTCGGAGGGGATTCTGGTTCTCTGGCAGGGCCTGAGGTATGGGTGTGCGTGCTTGGTGGAGGGCAGGAGGGCATGAGGTGGGAGGTGTGGCGGACCATTTTTGCCCTTTGGAGCTTGGTAGAAGGGTGGACCCCAGGGCTTGGCAAGTGCCACTTCTGGCAGGTTTGGAAATTTCCAAATAAATCCTTGTCTATTAGTGGTAAAAAAAAATTGTTTAATTGTTTTAAATTGTATAATATTGTTATAATAAACATATACCAACAAACAAAAAACCCAAATGACAACATGAATCCAAGTCTTGAACGGAGAGTCGGCCCTCCCTGGTTGTGTTAGATGCCACAAGAACAGAGGACACATTTCCTTCAGAGCACTTATCCAGGTTCCTTCTAGAGTGAGCATCGTATTAATACACTTGCTTTTAAAAAATTATTAACCAAACGTCATGATTTATTTGGCTTTCGTTTTCCCATTCATGTCCTTTTCCTATCCCAGGCCCCCATCCAAGATACCACATTGCATTTAGTTGTCTTGTCTCCTTAGGCCTCTCTGGGACACCCCTGCTTTTTACACAGGGCTTCACCATCTGCCACTGCACTGTCACTCCTGCCAAAGACCCTGAGCCACCCATCCCCATGGAAGATGGAAGACACTCACCCTGGATCCCGCTTCTGGGTCCCACCTTGATCTGCTGTTGAGAGCAAGCACTAGTTTCTAGATTCTTCTCTCAAAGGAGCACCCGATGGTCTCTGCACCTGAGCACTCCACACAGCTGTCACCCGCGGGGCAGTGCTACGAGCCTGTGGCAGTGGGGCCCATCTGGGAGCTCTGCCCTTAGCACACGCCCAGGCCTGGAACCTCCTCCGTCACTGCAGGGTGAATGACCTCTTG